ATTTTTGCCAGTAGGATTTAGTGATACCTTCTAGCTCCTGAGATATTTTCCAGATTAGAGAACACACACACTCCCCCCTCTCAAATTTTCTCCTCTCCTTCCCATATGTGTATTTAATGAATGTATGTGGAAGTTGAAGGTCAACATTTAGTATGACTTCTTACCTTATTTTCTTGAGAGAAGCTTTTTTTCACTGACCCTGGAGCTTGCTGATTCACCTAGGTTGGCTGGATGGCACGCCCCAGGAATTATCTTGTCTCTATTTCCCCAACGCTGACACATGGCTTTTTATTTTTATGTGGGTTCTGGAGGATCCAACTCAGGGCTTCATGCTTGCATCACATCTGAACCATCATCTCCCAGCCCTAGTTTGGGAATTTTCATGTGTTGATGATCATCCCTCATTGATCAGTATGAGTTTGACACAGCCAGAGAGTAAGAAGCCATAAAAATTTGAATGGCTTTTGTGCAGGACCTCTCTGATTTGAACAATGAATCCTTTGGTATATTTCCAGATGAGTCACTACTCCCTAATGTCCCCAGCTATGTCACCAGAGCTGGTGGCTATCTGCTCTGAAAGAGAGCCTGCCATTAACTGGACTAGCACACAACCTTCAGCTGAGAAAGCAAGAGACAGATATTGTCATCCTGAAAAGAAAAGTTGATGCCAATAAATATAGTTTATGTAAGCTTCCATGTTAGAGATGTCTTAGAGAAAAGAGCCCAGATTTGAGTGTGTTTTAAAAGCAACAGATTGTGGGTGAAGCTTGGTGGTCTATAACTTGCTTGATATCCATGAGGTCCTGGGTTCAATTCCCAGCACCACAAAGGAATAAAACAAGACCATGCAAATATAAACTGTGAAACATCCCCGCATATTATTTTGTAATAAAGCACAAATTCATATGCAAATTCCCTGCCTTTGGGAACTTAATTATTTTCCATTAATAATCGATTGTATTTATATTTACATTATCAGAACTTAGCTGAACAAATGTCTGTTGGCTTGAGTTATCAATACTTTGGAGGTGATGCCAGCCTATTTAGGCTCGATTCTTCTCATCTTTGTAGTACCTGTCATTGCCCTTTACCTACAACTGCTCAAGCATGGAAAGTCAGTCGTCATCTATGTTAAGTTCATTCACCTCTGAGTACAAGGGAGAGAACACTGTACTATGAGGGAAAATTTAAGACACATCCTAGCTGTACCTTTTGCTGACAAGAACCTCCAGACAAGTCGAATGTTTTCTGAGATTTTGATGTCACTTTTCTCTATTAAAAGTGTGGATGTCACAGATGCATCTTTTCGAGACAGGTTTTCTCCGTGTGGTTTTGGTGCTTGTCCTGGATCTTGCTCTATAGACCAGGCTGGCCTCGAACTCACAGAAATCCACCTGGCTCTGCCTCCCGAGTGCTGGGATTAAAGGCTTGTGCCACCACCGCCCAGCTCACAGATGCATCTTAAGACACATCTATCTCAGGAGAAAATGTAGGCCACTTCATCACTTCCTTTTTCCTCAGTCAGAGGTCCTAAGGTACCCTGTGACCTGAAGGGGTCATAGACTTTACTGATGAAGGAGAACAGGCTCAGAGGGACTTGGAGGTCTCTGTGGCAGTGACTGCAGATCATTAACTTCTCTCGGCTCAGAATACCAAAACAATTAACGACACAAACAGCTCCCACCCTATCATGTACCAGGAAACCCTAGAAAATGATCTTGAGAAAACCAAATTCAGAAATAGTAGCTCAAAGAATTTGACGATGGATAATGCTCTCTCTATCATACATAGAAGGAGTGGCATACATTTATGTTTATAAGGTGTCTTGCTGTTTTATTGCTGTGAAGAGACATCGTGACCATGGCAGCTCTTATAAAGGAAAGCATTTGATTGGGACTGGCTTACAGTTTCAGAGGTTTAGTTCACTGTCTTCATGGTGGGAAGCATGGCATCACTCAGACAGACCTGGTGCTGGAGAAGTAACTGGGAGTTCTATATCAGGAAATTCTGGCAGCAGGAAGAGAGAGCCACTGGGCCTATCTTGGGCTTCTGAACCCTCAAAGCCCACCTCCAGTGATACACCTTCTCCAAACATGGACACACTTCCTAATCCTTTCAAATAGTATCACTCTCTGGTGACCAAGCATTGAAATATATGGGTCTATGGGGCCATTCTTATTTAAACCACCTCAGATGGGTCAAATATACTTAGAAATCCCGAGAAAGAAATCATTGCAGGTGTTACCTCTAAGTTGATTAAATGTATAATTTTGCTTATTTTCCCAAGGAACTCCAACTCTATAGCTAGTAAAGAAAACTTGGAAATAACTTCATTTGGAATTATGGATTTATGTCTTTAGGAGAAAATAATCAAAAATAGATTTAAAGATTTGTTTTCTGTAGCTTGAGTTTTCCTGCCTGGCCCACAGTCAGGACAAATCTCTCTCACCTGCCAGTCCCACAGCCACTCAGACCCAACCAAGTAAACACAGAGACTTGTATTGGTTACAAACTGTATGGCCATGGCAGGCTTCTTGCTAACTGTTCTTACAGCTTAAATTAATCCATTTCTATAAATCTATGCCTTGCCACATGGCTCGTGGCTTACTGGCACCTTCACATGCTGTTTCTCATCATGGCGGCTGGCAGTGTCTCTCTGACTCAGCCTTCTACTTACCAGCTTTATTCTCCTCCTTGTCCCGCCTATACTTCCTGCCTAGCCACTGGCCAATCAGCGTTTTATTTATTGACTAATTAGCAACACATTTGCCATACAGAACATCCCACAGCACTTCCCCCATTTTTTTTTTCAAAAAGGAAGGTTTTAACCTTAACAAAGTAAAATTACATATAATTTGGGAATTTGGGTGTAGCTTCTCTTACTACTTCCTGCTGGAGGGGGGCGCTGTATCTTATGGGGAAACAAAGAAAATTTTAGCATTATGGAATAGTCCATGAGGCTGTATCGTCTGAGCCAGTTGCCTTCAAACCGTTCTGGATGTTGGATCATCTGGGCCATAGTGTCATCGGAGACCTTTCAGGGGGTCTTGGCTGGTCAAACCTGATGTATCTTAATCTGGAACGAATCCATAGCCTCTGGCTTTCTGTGGGAACATAAGCAGAGTCTCCTTTCCAAAGTAACATATCCTTATATTCAAATTTTGAAGTCAAGGTACCTTTAAAATATACATTTTGGCATAACTCAACAGCTTTTACAATCAAATGTTTTTCTGCAGTTACAAGTCCCAAAGACAACACAATGCAGATTCTCTGTGTAATATCCATTTTTACATGGCTTATATTTTATACTACCTTTACTGTCTCTTTAAAGACTTTATTTTTTAAAACTATGTATTTGTTTCTATAACTCTATATATCATCTTTTTTGTCTCTTTCAAGCCTACGCATCTTTTACACACATTGTAAACTATTACATCTGAATCTGTCTTATTGTGAATCTATTGCCTTAAACTGCAGCAGCTGTGGCTGCTGGCTCCACCCACCTCAGCTTCCCAACGTGGCGTTTTCCACCAGCTCTGGGAGCTATCGTGGGTCTCTATGCTTTTATCCAAGCAGCGTATAGCCCAGAAACCTCTTTGTTTTGTACCTGCAAAGGCTAAATCCACCACGCAGCTTAATGTGCCACTTGCAGAGGACTCATTCCCGCCATACTGCAGGTCGAGCGCACATGCTAGGAACCCACCAGTAGCTCAAACTGGCAGCTGCCGCTCATTTGAGAGAGACGATTAGGAAGCTGTTTTTAGCTCCGTTTTAGAATCTTTTCTCAGGTTTTAGGTGGAAACTCTTGCCACCACGTTGGACGCCGTTTGTAGCTTGAGTTTTCCTGCCTGGCCCACAGTCAGGACAAATCTCTCTCACCTGCCAGTCCCACAGCCACTCAGACCCAACCAAGTAAACACAGAGACTTGTATTGGTTACAAACTGTATGGCCATGGCAGGCTTCTTGCTAACTGTTCTTACAGCTTAAATTAATCCATTTCTATAAATCTATGCCTTGCCACATGGCTCGTGGCTTACCGGCACCTTCACATGCTGTTTCTCATCATGGCGGCTGGCAGTGTCTCTCTGACTCAGCCTTCCACTTCCCAGCTTTATTCTCCTCTTTGCCCCGCCTACACTTCCTGCCTAGCCAATGGCCAATCAGCGTTTTATTTATTGACTAATTAGCAACACATTTGCCATACAGAACATCCCACAGCAGTTTTCCAAGAAGAAGTGTATATATATATTTCCTGGACAAGGTAAAGAGATCTGTATGGGTTTAGTGGGAAGTTCATTGTATCTTTGGACAACAGTGAACATTGACCAGAGCTTTGATTCTGTGGCTGGGTAGCAAAAAGGAAGCATAAACGTGCCCTGAGTAAGTGTCAAGTCTGATAGAAATGAGCACTTTCATCTTCATGATCAATGTTTAAAGACAGAAAATGCTAGTCTCACCAAAATGTAAGGAAATGAAAGGCACAGAAAAGTTAGTCACTATGGGTGGCCAGAATTAGGTTTCAAATTATGTTTGCTTTGAGGTTTTCCCTCTATTTTGTTATTAGAACTTCACGTTAATAGTAACAATAGTAATACTGCCACTTTCAGGGAACATTTTTATTAAATTCCAGGCATTGTGCTGAGAGCTTTTAATGCATGGTTCCATTTAATTATCACAACAGATCTGTGAGGCAGAGATTATTTCCAGGGTTGAGATGACGAACTCGAGACTGAGAGACCATATGGGATTCCCCCTCCTCCCCCATCCCCAGGCATAGAAATAGTGAGTGGAGCCAGGGCTTCCCTGTGCTTCTAGTGTGGTCTAGAAAAACCTGTGCTTGGACCTGCAGGGCCACAGGGTGCCCCTCCTCTGGCGATCATCAGCATGACCTTGCTTAGCCTGTACACAGATCCAGTCACTTTGGGTGGGTGACACATATTTCCCACATTGCTTGGTTCAGAAATCACTAAGATCCTTAGTATGTTTTTCCCCCCCACAGGTTCTTGCTGGATCACAGTTAAGCACTCATACCCAAGAGACTGATAACATCTCCGAGGGGTCAGAGTTGAGGAGGAATGTTCGTGAAACTGAGACTAACTGCTCAAAAGGATTATATCGTGGGGGCCAATTTTGCTGTCAACCATTCCAGCCTGGTAGGTCACATGAAGCATCCAGAGATGAGTGGGAGAATCAGGGTGAGGGACTGAGAAGTGCTATAAGTAAGAATGTGTTGGACAGTTAGTTATACAGCTATTGGCCGTCCTATAGTGTACAGCATTAGAAGAAGTGGAGGGAGGGGAATACTATAAAGTTATCCTCCAAACACAAATTGGTTTGTTTTTTTCTTTTATCTTTATGTTGCTTGTCTGGGGTACTTATGAAGAAACATAATTTACAAATGGCATATATGTCTAAAATGAGAAGATTCATCTATTTAGCTGTTTCTCATAAGCTAAGGAAAACTTATTTGGGAGGGTTAAAAGCCTGTCATCTCAAAGCTGACCAGTGTGTATCTGACTAATTCTGGGGCTCCCTTAGCAAGGAACTTCCACCCTCAGTGCTATTTCTCAGCCCCTCTCTTCGGTCTATCGCTACGGCTCTCTGTCCCAGCACTGAAGCCTGCAAAATACATTTGCATTTTGCAGCTGAGTAACCAGATGAGCTAGAAAAGCAATGAACAGCCACCAGCAGTTTTTTTCAAAAATCAGTATTTTGAAATGCAAATCCCTTTCAGACTGGAACTCTTTCAAGCACCAGCAAATGAGAGGCTAAGGAAAATGTAATTCTGTAAACTTCGTTTCTACTTTGGGGTTGACCACAGTTACTTATAAATGCAGATCTGTCTCAGGTGCATTGAGAGGATAAGAAGGTGACCCAAGCTGGGCAGTTGGTGGTGCCTCACACCTTTTAACCCAGCCCTCAGGAGGCAGAGACAGGCAGATCTCTGTAAGTTCGAGGCCAGCCTGGTCTACAGGGCAAGATCTAGGACAGGCACCAAAACTACACAGAGAAACCTTGTCTCAAAAAAAAAAAAAAAAAAAAAAATGAAAGTGACTCAGTGGCGTTTAGGTTTGTTTGACAGTGTCAGGCTATAGTCATAGACCTCCAAAAGGCTTCTGTAGATTCCATCATTGGCTTCACAGGCTTGCAGTACTAAAAGTACAAAGCAGGTCCAGGTCATGCACATGCAAAGACTCCTCCAACAGTGTCCATGGGACACTCTCCTGTCCAGATTTTTACTAAGCCTAACAAGAAAGTTTTCCCTATAATATAACCCACTTTATACCTACCTAAATTCCTATACAGTTACTGTTTTCCAAACAGGAAGTGGAAACTATCTATTGCTTTTTTCTTTAAGTTGCTAATGACAATCAATTTAGCCTATGAATTGAAATCTGTATTCATAGTTGAAATTTTGCATTTATATGTTTAAAATTTAAAGTGCAAACTGAAACAAAGATGGTGTGTTTTGCATGTTAACCTGTCAAAGATTTCTGCTGTGTGCTTTTACTGTACTTTTGTTTGTATTTTAAAAGGGAATCTCAGCCTGCTGCAAACTTTTAAGAAAGAAAATGGGACCTATGTCGAGAACTGTAGCTAGAGTTTTCCTGCCTGGCCCACAGTCAGGACAAATCTCTCTCACTTGCCAGTCCCACAGCCGCTCAGACCCAACCAAGTAAACACAGAGACTTATATTGCTTACAAAGTGTATGGCCGTACCAGGCTTCTTGCTAACTGTTCTTATATCTTAAATTAATCCATTTCTATAAATCTATACCTTGCCACGTGGCTAATGGCTTACCGGCATCTTCACATGCTGTTTGTCATGGTGGCGACTGGCAGTGTCTCTCACTCAGCCTTCCACTTCCCAGCATTCTTCTCCTCCTTCTCCCGCCTATACTTCTTCCTGCCTGACTACTGGCCAATCAGTGTTTTATTTACTAACCAATCAGAGCAACACATTTGCCATACAGAACATCCCACAGCAGAGAACTCGACAATGTTTTTACTCAGTGACACAGCAATGAGTTATTTATAGGAAAATGCATTAAACATGGAAAGTTTTGTGTGTATGGCATTTCATTTTGATACCCAACAATGTAGGATTGTGCATGTAAATTCTGGAGTAGTCAAAGGCTGGAATAGTTTGTGTCAATCATAGCCTAAGTGCATCAAAATTTCTGATATATTTCTAGTCTAATCCTCAGTTGTACAGATTTCTTTTAGCATTTGCTAACTGTCATTCTGGCTGTGTTAAAGGTTTTTCTCTGCCCCTTCACTAGTATATCCCACATGGCATTCAGCACCCACCAAACACTCTCCCCACCATTAGTCTCTCTGGTTGAATTTTAGACTTACCAACATTCAAGTTAGTTTCAAGTCTGTTTATAGTGTTGATGATCGGATAGTAATAGGTAATATTAATGATGAAATACATCAGTGAACATCAAATATTGGGAAATGATAAATTTTACTTTTAAGAAAACTAGGTTGAATATTTTGGATACTTTCATGAATTCATACAGACTGTTGGTGTGATGAAGCTTTCTTTTTCATCAAAATGAAGGGAAGTAGGAGAAGGGGATGGAGGGAAGCCAAACAGAAACCAAGGCAATGCACTGTGGATATGACTTAAGTGAAAAGAGTCTTATCTCCATGTCAAATGATTGGCATACTTATATAGAGACTCTTTAAAATGAAAATAAAATATGTTTTTCATAGATCTCACCTGTGAATTGATATTTTTTATTATAATACACTGTGCACATTTACAGAAATTTAAAAAATAAATAAAAATCAAATACTTGAAAAGTCCTCACCACATCTTGATATCCAATAGGATAAATCCAGCAGTGTATTTCTTATTTATTATATCTTCATATACATACTTATATATACTGCTGCCTCTATACTACTATATATACATACATATGTGAGTGTATATATGTAGTGTATTTGTATGCATAAGAATGCAACCAAGTAAGAGAATAAATATCTCAAGGTAGTTGGTATGTAGGTGCTTTTAATAATTTCCCCTCCCTACCAAATTTTCTGTGATAAGCAAGTATGTGGCTATCAGAGAATGATGCATTTTGAAATCTTATTTTTTTTTTTAGTAACTTTTTTTTGTATTTTCGGTAATTTAGATTGTGTAGTTTGGGGAAAGAATCTTAATTGTATCCATATAAAGCTAGGCATAATCTCTAAGCCAGCTCATTAGATATTTCAGTTCACTTAAACAACAGTGTCATACCACCTGCAGGCAATGCAATGCTCTTCTGCTCAGTCCCCAGTGGATTCTGCTGTGAGGTTGTGTAGCTCTGATGCGCCCTTTGAATTTTGCTCTAGATTTTCATGGTTCCCTTTTAAAAATAGACTTGTTTTTGTTTACTAAAACATCACAAAATGTCATCTATATTTTAGTTTAATAACTGACTGTACATAGTAAATATTGTGTTTGGACAACAAGAATTCTATGAGGAAATTCACCAAGTCATGTAATAGGAAACACAGAATAGATTGCATTTGCTGTTTTGTGCACGGTAAGCAGATTTGACTGTGTTTGGCCTTTATAATCATTTACACCGTTGGTGACTAGAGTTGCTGGTGCTGCATCTCTGCCACACTTCCCTGCATATTCTGCAGCACCTGCCTCTCTATTCACTGCCCACTGCCACTTGCTGCCACTTAGCTTTTCTGCCTGAGAAGGGCAAGACCCCGGAAGCTAATGTTTTGTCTTACTTCCTGCAGGACTTCCTTCTGCTCCTAGAGATCCCTTAGCAAACAATGGACATTTAATAAACACTTGTTCAATATGTGACCATATTTCCGGAAGGCATTGTTCTATAATGCTTAGTCACGGAAATAGAATGACTTACTTTACATAAATCAAAACAAAGATGAATATTATTTCAGATTGTTTGCAATAATAACAAACCCTATGATATTTTATTAGAAATACATGTGCTTGTCTACAAAATGTGCTGTTTCTGAATAGAAAATAAATAGAAAGGGGAGAGAAGAAGGAACTGTGACTCTTTATTTGGTGGCATGTGCACAGTTCTGATAGTAATGACAGAGAAGGTCTTCATCATTTGCATGACAAAAACTTAGGCTTACAGACACTAAGTGCTCTGTCAAAGATTTGATGGAGATTGCTAGAAACTTCCAAAGTTCTTTTGCTTAAACTGTATTGTCTGACCAGGATTTGTGGATTTGGGAAAACAAAATGAGAATCAGAACATAGTGAGTTTGTCTGGTAATCTCAGAGCCAAGGACAGCCACCTCCACCATCTATCTAGTTTCTTCTCTTCAGAGAAGTGCATTTGGTCACTCTGATTGACTCTTTCCCTGTGTTTCTATTGCTAACTATCCTACTTTTTATGGGAATATTGTTTTGCCTTCTGTTTTTGGAAGGCTCTTATATGATTTTTTTCCCAATAGCTATTTGTCTTTCCCATTGCATTTGCATGTAATTAGCCTGACATTATCATCTTAGCATACTTCCCATGCTGTTACATGACGACTGCCCTGGCTCCAAAAATTTAATATATATTTTTTTCCTATGACAGGTGAACGAAAACATTTGGATTGTACAACCGATGGTGACAAACCAAGCTGCCATCCCTGCACGGAAGGGAGGGAATACATGGACAAGGAACATTATTCTGACAAATGCAGAAGATGTGCACTCTGTGATGGAGAGCATGGTATGTATCTAAGAAAGCAATTGAAAGAATCCAATCCCCGTACTTTATGTAGAACCACACACGGCACAGTTTGAGATTGGGATCTACTCTGGTACTGTGCTAACATACAGGAAGGAGCAGAATGAGGCTAGCTAGGTAATGTGGAGCCAAGTCCTTAGGTAGTAATCACATTTAAGGGTCTTCTCAGCAATTCTCCCAAGTGGAGGCAAAGGACTAATCACCCTGAGTGGAGATGCACCAGCTGTAATCAAAGCCACCCATGGAAGCTATTTTCCCACCTCTATTTAAACTTGGCTTGTGGTTCTTGTTCACAGCTGTACAGAGAAACCCAAAATGTGGGGAGGGTGTCCCCTCATCTTTGGGGATCTGGTCTGTCAACATCATTCTACTTGGGGGTCTGAATTTTTGTAGCTATTTCAATCTATTCTCAAGATCAAGGTGGAAACAAAACAGAACAGAACAAAAAATGGCCATACTTTGGCATCAAGTTTTAGATCTCTCTCTCTCTCTCTCTCTCTCTCTCTCTCTCTCTCTCTCTCTCTCTCTCTCTGTCTCTCTCTCTCTCTCCATAAAGCTTTTACACCAGACTGTAAAGAAGTGATGCCAAACCTGGTTATATATTAGAGCTGCTCAAGGAGCTGTTGAAATAGTAATGCTTAGGTCTCAGTTCCCAATTAAATCAGTCTCCAAGTGGAGCCTGAAAATGTGTCTGCTTAAGCTTAGTTCAGGCTTATCATGTAGCATTCCAATGTGCTAGACATGATGATGATGATGATGACGATGATGATGGTTTTCAGACCATGTATTTAAGGCACAAGGCTCTCAATTAAAGGAGCAGAGAGGCCATCTATGCAATGGTGGAGAGTGTCTGGCTTTCTGGATATCTATCCACTAACAACTCTGCTTGATTGATGGTCCTTTCAACCTGGTACTGCCATTTTTTTTTTGTTAGTAAACATTGTTACACGAATTCCTGAATGGTCTTAATAAAAAACCCAGAGCCTGATATTGCGGTGAATGCTGAAAGACCAGAGAGACAAAGGAACAAGCCACCTCTTACCTCTAGGACTCTTCAGCCTGAAAAGCTTTCTTCAGCCGAAAGACTTTAGTTCCTGCCTCCTCATGCCTTATATACCTTTCTCTGCTCACTCATGTCATTTCCTGTCTCAGTTTTTCTAGTGCTGTGATTAAAGGCATGTGACTCCCAAGAATTGGTGTGTGCCTCCAGTGCTTGGCTCTGTTTCTTTCCTAGACTGAGTCAATCTCATGTAGTCCAGAGTGGCCTTGAACTCACAGAGATCCAGACAGAGCTCTGCCTCCTGAGTGCTAGAATTAAAGGAATGTGCCACTACTGCCTGCTGCCATGTTTAATCTAGTGGCTTGTTCTGTTCTCTGATCTTCAGGCAAATTTAATAGGGTACCCAATATATCAGCACATTTTTCCTTTTATTATTTTTGTCTAAAATAATAAAAGGTTATAACTAATATAAGAAAAAGTATATACAATTTAAGTACAATAAGTATATACAATATATACAGTCAAGAATTACATTAACAATGTCCAGTCCATTAACATTTGATGGATTTAGAGAAAAAATTCCATTGTTTATACTATTTTGGTGAGTCCAAAATGTTGTACCTAATTCACTTTCTATCCTAACTTGTATTATCAACCAAATACTGTTTTTTGATGTCTTTCAAACTTACACACTTTACACCTCTTTAGTGAGTTTCTTTTCTGAATTTGTTAACAAAGAAGACTATAACTATCCAGTCTTCAACTCCCTCAGAGACCCAAGAAGGAAATAATATTACCTAAGTAAGCAGGAAGTGCAAGCAAGCAACTTCCAAAAAAATATGAGAAATGACAGAAACAGCTGTGGGATCCCATCATTTTTTTTGGAGACTTAAAGCTGCTGTTAGGCATGGTCATGGTTCACTGCAGGAAATCTTTTTTGTGGGACATTTTTTTTTCTGGATGATTTGTTGGTTTTTTTCAGCTTTCTCATTTGTTCAGTGTTCTTCAGATTTTTTAACTGGATGCCTTTATTCTCCTGGAAGATAAAAACAAAACCCTTCCCCATCCCTAACTTTGGGGAGTTTCCAAATCTAATCTTTATCAATTTTGATTTATGGTTTTTCCTTAACTTTTTTTGCTTTATTTTCTAAAGCTATTCTATCATACAGAGAAGTATGATTTTTTTTACAAAAGGCATTAGGTTCTTTAATTACTCTGGGAAGAGGTTTCTTCCATGATGCAGGAAAGGACTGAACCGAATTTTTCATGGGGGCCTGTGAGAGGCCCCTCAGGGCATTTTCCAGTGGCAAAGGCAAAGGATTACCTTGTCTGTCCCTTGTTGACCTATATTCATTAGTCCAATATCTGCCTTTGCCACACCTTCTGCATAATCCAGAAGGGAGGGGCATTCTGTTAGGATTATTCCTTGAAAAAACATTGTTTCTAGGAATTCCCTGTTTACAGTCCCTTTTTAGGTGACCTTGTTTACCACATTTGAAACATCTGGCATCACTATTTTTCTTCAAACCTCTGGAAATCATTTCTCCTATCCAAGTATCATCATGGTCATGAGATTCAATATTAATTGTATTTCATATACATTCCTCCAAGGGTTCTGATCTAGCCTTTATTGGCCTAATTACCCTTTTGCATTGTGCATTAGCATTTTCAAAAGCTAGAGATTCAATTATTATTGGTCTAGCTTCTGAATTTGGTATCATTCTATTTACTGCTGAAGACAACCTTTGTAAGAAATCCACGAAGGTTTCTTTTGGGTCCTGTATAACTTTTGTAAATGATTCAATTTTCTTTCCTACTTCTTCAGTTCTGTCCCAAGCATTCAAGGCTACCATTCAGCATAAGCCAGGGTGTGGTCATCATACAAAGATTGCCTTTCTACATTAGCATAATCTCTCTCTCTAAGAAATTGATCTTGGGAGATTTCTACACCTCTAGCCCTTCATTGTTGTTCAATGGTCTTAGCCTCATCCTTCCACCAGGTCCTCTATTGTAATTGTGGATCAGCCTCTAAGACAGCTGTAACCAAATATCTCCAGTCTTGAGAGACAATTCCATTACAAGTTGACCACAAGTTTAACATCTGCTTTACAAACAGGGAATGCATACCATATGACACTATAGCTTTTTTGAATCTCCTCAAATCTAACATTTTCCACAGAAGTCCAGTTAGCTTGTACATAGCCTTGAGCATTTGGCAGTCCCTGTAAGGTTATTGGATAGATTAAGGTTGGCTGTTTGAAAGCCTTAGGCTGTTTCTCTGTAACCTTATAATGCAATGCTGAGATTGGTTCACCTTTAAATTCTTCTGTCTGGGTCTGAATTTCTCTATGATCTGTTTTAACAAGTTCTTCTAAAACTTTTATCTTGGCAATCATATTAACCAACTTTTTAAATGATAAAACAAATAATATTTATAATTGACATTACATAAATCCCATCTACATTAATTATTCTCTCTTTTAATTGTTCCATTTTCAGACTGTCAATTGTATTATCAAACAGAGATCAAATTCCTTCCTTGTAGCTGGAGAATTTCTCTCCAGCTTCTGCCAAGCCCCACCAGTCCCGGAGCCCACTTATAAAATAAACACATGACTCTTATATTATATTATATTATATTATATTATATTATATTATATTATAACTGCTTAGCCATTAGCTCAGGCCTACCATTGTCTAGCTCTTACTCTTATACTAAGCCCATTTCTGTTAATCTATATGTTGCCACGTGTTCCGTGGCTTTACCTGTTGCCTCTACATGATGCTCCCTGAATGGCAGCTGGTGTCCCCCTTCCCCTACCTTCCTCTCCTTTTCCTCTCTCCTCTCTCCTAGTCCCGCTTATACTTCCTGTCTGGCTACTGGCCAATCAGTGTTTTATTTATACAGAGCAATATCCACAACACTTCCTTTGTAAAAATATTTCCCATTTTTTAATATGGGAAAAATCTTTTTTAACTATTTTCTCCCATTAAGAAATCCCAATTGTCTCTCCCAATTCTGCCAACAGTGAAGATTCAGATATGAGGCTGAGGGCTTCTGTGTAGAACAGTAGAAGCCTGAGTGGGTTTCAAAGCAGCTACCTCTACAGAATCCTCAGTCTAAAGAAAGTGAGTTCTGTTTTCTCCCACCTCATATACCTTTCTCTGCCCTGCTGTATTGCTTCTTGGGATTAAAGGCATGTGTGCTTCCTAAGCAAAGGTATGAGATCTCAATTACTGTGATCAAAGGTGTGTGCCAACACTGCCTGACCTCTATGTCTAATCTAGTGGCTGGCTCTGTCCTCTGATCCTCAGGCTAGTTTATTGGGGTACCCAATATATCAGCACAAAACATTGTTATTAAAGATGTGATAGTGTAACAGTTGATAATAAGCAGCATATCTAAAAAAAATCTATGCAGAATCCAGTCATTATTTTCATTGCTTATTTTTAACTAGCTGCTATAATTAATACTTTATAAACTGGATTTCTAGGTTTAGAAGTGGAAACAAACTGCACCCAGACCCAGAATACCAAGTGCAAGTGCAAACAGGACTTCTGTTGTAATGCTTCAGTCTGTGAACACTGTGATCGCTGTGTTATGTAAGTTTTAGTATTCAGTGCCTAAAACACTAGATATAACTTGGGACATCCTACCTTCTTAGAGAAGAGCTACACTGAATGGGGAGTTAGAAACTGAGTTCTCTTCTTGTCTTTTCCATTTGCTCAGTTACCACCAATCAACACCAGTCATCACTGAGCAGTCTCCAGTTTCTGAACATTACCAAAACCATTCTGTTCAAGTTACACTGCTGGCTGCTTAGGTTGGTGATGGTTATGGGAGATGTGACTGTCATCAACGTTTTGGTTCTAGGGGCAAAGAAAGGGAAAAAACAAATGCTTATTGCATGTCAGTACTTTATGGTGTATGGCAAGCATAAAACATTTGTGCTAGGAGTGGTGTAAGTTATGCAAGAAGACCTTTTGACTCTGTATGGAAGGTGAGAGTCTTGAGGAGTCAAGAGACAGCAGTACATGTGGGTGGGAAGTGTGTTCAGGCAGGGAACAACAGCTCTAAAGAGGCATAAGATGCTCCCATATCTGCTGGAGGGTAGAAAAGCCTGGAAATGAATCGGATCATGAGGACTTTGCCTTGATGCTAAAGGGCTTGCTTTTGACTCAAATCTAGAAAACCTGCTTGTACTGCTCACCTATCTGCTGATTAATTGGACTAGTTTGAGCAGATCACTTAACCCATTTAAACTTCAGTTTTCTCTCTCGTGGGATGCAAAGAATATTTAATTAGCACCACCCTTCTGCCACATTTCTCTGGAGATCACATTAGGTAGTACATGTTGCAAAGACAGCTTTTGCATCTCAGGGTAAATCTTAGTGGTAGAACACTTGCCCAGCAAGTGCAAGGTCTTGGGTTCAATGCCCAGCACTGAAAGAAAAGCAGCTTTTGGTTTGTCAGATGCTGGTTTTCTGGAGAATGCTTAGGACTGCTATTCCCTTGCCATTCTGTACACCTGTAACTCACCTTTGGAACCTATGGGCATTCATCTAATAGGCTGGTTGAAAAGCAGAGACATGATGCTTCCTATCTTATTTATTAGGAAAAACGTTTGTGTTCTTACCTTTGCTCTCTTCTCTAGTTCCAAGTGTCTGAGAGTGATGAGGGGCAAGGTGGGGAATGCAGGGAAGTAGTTAACTTGGTAAAGTAATAGCACAATAATAGCTGTGTACACTTTATAATCACAATTCAGTTTTCTTCTTGCTGGTACTCGGTGAAGTATAGTGTAATTATCGCCATGCTGTCAGTGAGATTACAGGCTCCGGGAGATTTCCTGATATCTCAACATACCTGCTTAGGCTTCAAGGAAGAGGTGGGCTGTGAACTTGGACTGTCAGAGTTTATGTATCTGAAGAAAATCCCACAAGTGCCTCTTGACCGTCCTGATTACTCCTAGCTGGGGCTCTGGGCAATATCCCAGGCAGTGGCTCCCTTCAGGCCATTGTAATGGTTTATAAGACTTTTTTTCAAATTGCTCTTGATAAGTCATTTTTAAAACAGCTTATTTTAAGCTCTTGTATCAATTTAATTGTATTGAACTTAAGAATTCAATTTATTACCAATTTTAAGTTTATTTTTGTCTATCCATTTCTTTTGTATATTAGTATTTTATTACCTTTTAAAACTCTTGATATCATTAGGATTTTTATTTTTAAACATGTGACACAGGGATATGCATGTGACTGCAATGCTGGGAAAGCCAGAAGATGCTGTCAGACACCCTGGAGCTGCAGTTAGCGGTGGCTGTGAGCTGCTTGGTGTGGGTTCTGGGAATTGAACTCTGATCCCCTCAACAGGCAGCAAGCACTCTGAACCACTGAGTCGTCTTTCTAGCCCCTATATCTTAAGGCAGACTTAACATTGCTCAATCAAACACCCAATCACAGTTCTTAGCTGGTACCAGCTTTTGATGGTGATCTGGAAATGTCTGAGAGGAAACAAGTGCCAGAGATAAAAGGGCAAATGAAATGAATCCTGATGTGTCATGTACATGAAAGACAGGCGAGGATTCTACACAGGCCTTCTAAGCTTCTTCTGCCTTTCCCCCCGAGGTGTGAACATGGAATCCTTGAGCCGTGCACATCAACCAGCAATACCAAATGCAAGAGAGAAAGTAATCATTTGTTTTTATGACTACATTCCTTCCCCATCCCCATCATCGTGTCAGAGTAAATGCTTATTGGTTTATTATTGATTGAGAGAACAGAGCTTCGCTTTATCTTAAAAGCTGCTCAATTTCATATGAAATGTCCAATATTTCCAGCCACAGGTTCTGGATACCATTTCCTATGGTTGATCGTCATCCTTCTTTTGATAGTATTGCTGGTTGGTAAGTCCTCTCTTTGCTTAAACTTTACATTAAAATGACATGAGAAGTAGCCAGTGTGCCCATAGAGAACCACAGAAAGCCAGGGAGAGTGTGACAATGACACCTGGTGAACCCGACCTTCTCTGGGCCTGACCTCCCTCAATAAACCATTTATTTTAATGTTTATTTAATTTTTATGTTTATTTATTTTTGATCACTCTCTCTTATTTTGTGTCTTTAACTTAAAAATCTATGACAACATATTTTATCCAAAAATTACTTCATAATGACAGTAGTTAAGGGAAAGCTGGGTATCATCATAGTTGTTCTAGAAAATCCCCTTGAAGCCTAGGGGTGACAAGATATACCAACTTTCAGTGACTGAGAATCTTGTAATTTTTCCTTCTTTGTCAGAACAAGTAACTGTCTCTTCAATTCACTTCGCTTAGTGTGAGGATTTCCTGTCAGAACGGCATGTGAGTCTGACAGCAATCTCTTTGATTTTTCAGGGTTTTTATATAAAAAGTATTGGAGAAGAGGTCATGATGACCCTGAGTCTGGGATCTCAAAGCCTGTGAGTATGCAAAATCTCATTGGCTTTCTTGGAAAAACAAAAGAAATAAAGAAACAAACAAACAAAAATTAGTGCTTTCTTTAAAACAAACATGTGTCTGTCCATTGTCCACAAGTCAGAGCAACATTAAAAATGAATTAACACAGCAGCAGCTAATTTATTAGTACATTTTTGTGGAGTGCTATATAAAAGCATCATCTACCTCTATAGTCATTTGAGTCAAGATGGAGCCTGTGCTGACCTGTCCATATCTTTCTCAAAGAGAAGACCATGTGTACTATCTATTGGACAGTACAATAAAGCATGGTACTGGAAATACTCTTTTACCAGAGTTTTCCAAGAGAAGAAGTTGGTTTTGGACCCCACTGACCCAGAGAAGCACTCAAAACCACAAGCAGACTTTTTTCAACCTGTATTTACATGTCGCCTTCAGCATTTACAGTGGATATTTGTCAAGGTTGCTGTCAGTCTACTGGCTGCTGCCAGGGAATGAATGATGTTAGACTGAATTGTCATAGTGCTCACACCCACGTGCATTATCTGGGTGAGGGACATGATTAAGGAGCACAGTTTAAGATTAAAGCCATGCATTAAAGTTATCTTGTAAAAAACGAATTACATGGGGAGTCCAAGGCATAGTTGGATTGGTTGGATTGTCTTCTCAAAGGTGGGTTAAATGTCAACAGAAAGGAAACAGACTGAATAGATAGTTTTAAATAGTCTTAAAGCATATGCCTAACTTGGTTCAAAAAAGCTGGGTTTCTGAAGGCAAGCTTATAAGAGGCATTTCCAGAATAAAATAAATCCTTAGAAGGCTTTACATAAATACTATAAGGAACAATAAAGGAGCTTGGAAGCCTACCAGTGTGAGCTGGAAAAGGGATGTGCTGTGCGAAGCGCCACATTTCACCTTGCTATTTTCCCGGCAGAAATGCCGTTGGCCAAAGTGCAGGACTCTGATTCCAAACCCCAGCCAAGACTTTGCTTTTAACACTTACCAGGCATAGTATGGCTCTCTCTAGCCCTGGAGCTAACGGTAGTTAGTATCTAACACAGCAGATGGAACCTTTCAGTATCTAAATTGAATGATTAAAAGAACTCATCTTAACCATAAAGTCTAATTTCCTAATTTTGTGTGTGTGTGTGTGTGTGTGTGTGTGTGTGGAGTAGTAGTAATAGTAGTGGTAGTAGTAGTAGTAGTAGTAGTAGTAGTAGTAGTAGTAGTAGGCAATTGTAAAATATTTCCTTCTGAATTTAGAAAGAATTAAATGACATTTAAATGTGTATTTGTCTCTCTGCCTCTGTTTTATTCTTCCCAGGAAAACATGCCAATTAATTTCTCAGGTAAGTTCTTCTATTATTTTTATTTCACAGAAGTGGCTTTCTTTGTCAGAATAAGCCCAAATTAGAACAAACACTAAGATTTTAGAGTGAATAATGTTTGAATTTCAGTGACACTTTAGGCTTTCCTGTTATTTAAACTGTCAGTTCTATCAAGAGTTTAGATCTGTAACATTCTTAATTAAAAATAAACCAGGTAGTGATAAGACAGTATATCATTAGAGGTTTAAGAAAAATTTTCTTCATAATCAGCTGTATCACAAAACTCCTTGTAAACTGATGTCCAAGTCAAATGGAACCACAGCCTCAGTTAGCATGTTCTCACCTCTGCAACAACATGTCCAATTCTATCTGCTCCTGTCCTTTGACCTGTGACTCAGAGACAGGAAAAACTGTCCTTTTAGGTTTGTGGGTCTGGTCATTAGGTCTCTAGGGGGTACTAGATTGGATCTTTTTTTAATTTTCTGATTTCATGAATGAGGTAAGAAGACATAAAGATGTCTTGTATCACGCCCAAAGAGTAAAAGTGTAAGAGCCACAGCGAGCTTGGGAGTACAACTCAAGCTCATTCTGTTTGGATCAATAGGACTCACCTGCACTCCAAATTTTAAGGGAAGACGTGCACATGGCTTCAGTAATGGGAATCCCTCTTAGAAAGACATTTTCGGAGACTGTTTTCTGTTTTTCAGATGTTGACCTGAGTAAACACATCTCGAATATTGCCGAACAAATGAAATTAAGTGATGTTAAAAAATTTGTTCGGAAGAATGGGATCTCTGAAACGACGATAGATGAGATCAAGAATGACAATATCCAAAACACAGGCGAGCAGAAAATCCAGCTGCTTCAGCACTGGTATCAGTCTCATGGGAGGAAGGGTGCGTATCACACTTTAATAAGAGGCCTCAAAAGAATCAACTGTTGTGATCTTGTAGAGAACATTCAGGCCATAGTCCGGGAGGACATTGAAAATTCAACTTTCAGAAATGAAAATGAAAGACAAGACTCAAGTGAAAACTACCTCAGTTCTGGCTGTTGAGAGAGAGAGAGAGAGAGAGAGAGAGAGAGAGAGAGAGAGAGAGAGAATCTTCTAAACCAGCGCTGTGGCTGGTGTCTGAGTCTTGCCATAAGTTCAAGGTCAGACCGTACAACGTAGTGAGCTCTGGACCAGCCTGGATCACAAAGTAAAACCTTGTCTCAAATATAACAAAAGAAAAATTACAAAGCAAAGAAGAACATTTTTAATAATGGAAATCTATAAATGGTGTTTGACTTTTTATTGAGTGTATTTTCTATTTCCTTAATTTCTAGAGACAATATATTTATAACATTGGAAGATTTCATGATTCTGTTTTGAGTAATGTTTATATGTATGTGGAGGATGGACAGGTACTAGAGTAACTGCAGTAGTGATTTATGTACCCAGACAGAAGTCTACACAAAAGCACATAAACTTAAGAGCATGCTCTAGGCATGAGTGTAGTTACTGTATGCTGGCCTGTGACAGTCCACTCTGTTCCATGGTCACAGAAGGCATGACTTTGGCGATGAAGTCACACACACTGTAAGGGTACTTTGTCCCAACCCCAATTCCAAGATAATCCTAGAGATTTTACCATATATAGAGACTTGGTTAGCCATCTTCAGAACATATCCATGCAAAGCTTGCACATGTATTTAAATGTAGAATTAAATCAGGTCTGTCTCAGCCGGGCGGTGGTGGTGCACGCCTTTAATCCCAGCACTCGGGAGGCAGAGGCAGGAGGATCTCTGTGAGTTCAAGGCCAGCCTGGTCTACAAAGTGAGTTCCAGGAAAGGCGCAAAACTACAGAGAAACCCTGTCTCGAAAAACCAAAAAAAAAAAAAAAAAAAAAAATCAGGTCTGTCTCAAAGATTTTTGTGTATGTGTACAGACAATTGGTGTTTTGTGATGTAATATTTCTAATTTAAATTTGTGTGGAAAATGTAGAATAAATCCAAATGCTTGAATATATTCTATTTATATACCATTGTATTCTTCCAAAATAATTTGCTTGTGTCTCAGGTGTCAAAGTGTTTTTGAGTAGGAGTGTATTACTCCAGCCACACTACCTCTCTGCTTTCTCCTTGTTGTTCAATCCGATACAGCTTCATGCACTCCTAAACCTGGAAACATTTCTAAAGAAATAATGGTCCCTGCCCCCCCCCCCCCATCCCCAAAAACTCAGAACTGCCTTGGAAATTCTGACCTGTTTTGGAAGGAGGAGTGCATTGCTTTTATGGAGGGTAAATTTAGGGCATGCTATGGACTTGCGCCAACCACCAAAGGTGGGGACAATATGAAAGGCCACTTCATTGCCATGTGTCAACTTCTGGTGTGTTCTCTTCGCCTACAAATGCCAGCTGATGTCCAGCAAAGATAAAATAGGCAGAAGGTTCTAGGAATTGCTTCTGATATTCTCTTCAGGTTCTGAGACAAACCATTTCCTCCATCTACTGCGATGCTGTTATTTTCACACTTAAACCTGTATGAAAGTTGTGTTAAATGTGAATTGGAATCTGCAGTGCTTGTGTTTATATTCATGTGCTGTGAACTGAGGAGAGTTATAAACGGAAACAAATACTTGCAGTTACCTAAAGACCTTCCACTGTTGGATGATTCTTTCCCTCTATGTATGGAAATGTATAACAGAGGGACTTTTTTTTTAATTAAAGTACCATTTTGGCATTTCTGATTCTCTGTTGTCTTGCCCGTTGTTTTATTTTCCTTCACTCCACCGACCACTTAAATGTTACCTGTTCGATGAATCGTTAAAGCTTGCTTTGACATCTGAGGAGGAAATTCCTTTTGTAAAGCCTTTTGATAGTTACATGGTTCATTCCATGGTTGTTACTGCCAAGAATACTCCCAAATAGAACACAACCATTTGTCAACCAGGGGCACTGAAATACTGGTAACCAAATACAAATGTTAAGGGGTGAGTTTTTGTTTCTTTATTTGTTTTTGTTTTTTCTTTTGTTTTGTTTTGCTCTTTTGGGGTAAGTGAGCTGAAAGGAAGAAATTCAAACACTATACTCTGGCTACTTGGTGACCACTAGGTCCTCTCTCTCTCTCTCTCTCTCTCTCTCTCTCTCTCTCTCTCTCTCTTTCTCTCTCTCTCTCTCTCTCTCTCTCCAAGAAACCCTTAAAATGTATTTATCCCCTTATTTTCTTCTCTTTTTGAGAATATCATCTCAACACAGACATTCATAAAACAACAGCTTTCATGTTAAAATCAAACTTAGCTGAAGCTGTTTAACAGTCACATCGAGAAAGCACACTAGTATTTACAGGAAGTGTGACTATGGCTCCTACGTCACCATAGCAAACAACCAAAGGAGCCTTTTGAGGTTCTGCTGTATGTGGGAGGTGCCCCTTTCTCCCCCTCTTGAGTCAATATTTGAAAAAGCAACCCTCTTTTCCTATCATTGACTTTTTTCATGTCTTTAAATTTTTTTAATTATAGTAATAAGCTTATTTAACCCAATATTTCCAAGAATTGACATTTTAGCATGCAATTAGTATTAAAACTATTAATTAGAACTGGAAGAACAGCTTTGCACAACAAGACCATGGATTCAGTCCCCAGCCACACAATTAAACAAAGCAACTCTCCCTTAAAAAACACCCTAACAAAGTACTATTGATGGGACAGCTTACGTTCCCACATAAAGTCTTAAAACTATAGCTTGTGTTTTATTACACCTGTAAGCACATCTCATTTTTGTTTACCCACATTCCATAGATCCGGTAGCCACATGGGGACAGTGGCTACTGCAGAAGGTAGTTTTCATCTTTATCTTTGTTATAGAGCCCTAAAATAACTGTAACTCTATGGCCGGTCAGCTCTTCTACCGGAAGTCTGGATTTTCTGGATATGTCGTACTAGACAGCTTCCCTGTAGTGGGTTGGAAGTCCAGCATCTCTCATCCATGAGTCAGTTTTTGGGAAATGTTTTGCTTCCATCCGTCAGTAGTTGTTCTTTAACCTAAAATTGTTCTTCGCCTGGCTCTGGGAGCCCACTGTCTCAGACCTGGAGGAACATCTGAGTAGATTACAACCTATTATTCTGTTCAGCCTTCTTTCCTCAGGACTCCATTCTCTCCATTCCAATGGTGACAGCCTCCTCAACTCTAATCTCCACTCTCTAGCTTGGCAAATGGTTGCTTTTTTTTTTTTTTTTTTTGAGGAATCTGACCACTGTGGTCTCAAAGTGCCTTTGGAAGAAAGATTAACTCATGTTGGGCTCTGCCTCCATGTCTCTCTGAGAGATGACAATCTGAGCTGTCCTGAATAGCTTTCTAGTTGGAAACAGCAGAAGGGCAAGCCCAGTACAGTTGTTACATCAGCAATGAAACTCCCACTCTTCAAGGTGAAATTAGCTGTGAGAACTTCCTGTGCCTAATTTGATGAGTTTGAACTTGAACCAAGAACTTTGAGTCCCTTTGAAAAGGCTTTGTATTTGAGGATGTGACTCTTTCCCCTTTGGCTTCACACAGAGGCTCCAGAAATGACTGCTCCCATATCAATAATCATGGCTGTGTTCTGGACTTCAAGTGGCTTCTTGGTCCAGTTACCTTGCTTTAGTGATCCACATCTTGTTTGTGGTAGACATCCTGAGCAGGAATATCACCCAAATGTCCCTTATGGGCTTCAGTAAAAGGCTATTAACAAAAGAAGGTCAGAGACCTTGTGGGTGTTGCAAACTTTGACATCCTTAGTAAGTCCACAGAGTCTTCTGGTGTTTGGTTTGACCAGGCACCACACCATGTAGTACTGAATTGCCAGTTTTTGTACAGTGATCTAGATAAGGCATACAATGCAGCATTATTTACAATTGTTTTCCATGTGCTCCTCTGGATGTAAATGTATCTGGATCAGAATTTTATACCAGGGGCTGGGGTGTAGCTCAGTAGAAGACCACTTTCTGAGCATTCCTAAGGCCCTTGGATAAATCCCTACTTTCAAGGTAAATATATAAAGAGAGAGAGAGAGAGAGAGAGAGAGAGAGAGAGAGAGAGAGAGAGAGACAGAGAGAGAGACAGAGAGAGAGACAGAGAGACAGAGAGAGACAGAGAGAGAGACAGAGAGACAGAGAGAAAGAAAAAGAAAGAAAGAAAGAAAGAAAGAAAGAGAAAGAAAGAAAGAAAGAAAGAAAGAAAGAAAGAAAGAAAGAAAGGAAGAAAGAAAGAAAGAAAGGAACAATGGAAAGGGAAAGTCTACACAATGCAAGATACTTGCAGTTTCTTGGGAGTACTTTAAAACCTGTTCATGAACACTGTTTCATGTTTGTTGCTGATGACATGCCCAATGCTAACCTAAATATGCCTTTCTAGCTAACCCCCTTTTTCCCCTGATAGATTTTGAAGCTTCGTCTGGTACATTTCCTTGGTGTTCTGCAATTTCACTTAAAAGAGTTTCCATATGGACTTATTTATCTCCCCTTCCTCCTCTTTTTCCTCCTCCTCCTCCACCTCCTCCATCCTTCTCTTCCTGCTTCTCCTTTCCCCACCACTCACTCACCTTGTCTTTTTGAGGTCTTTCTCTGTAGTCTAGGTTGGCCTAGTATTTGTGGCAATCCTCCTGCCTCAGACTTTTTATTGTTGGGATTATGGTGGACTTACTTTTAACTCATTTTCCTAAGTAGTACATCTTTTAAAAGATTATTTCTTTTATTTTTTGAGATTATAATATGATTAAATAATTTCTCTTTTACTTTTCTCTTTCCAAACCATCCAGTTTTCCCTCTCTTTCAAGCTCATGGCCTTTTTTCCCATTAATTGCTGTTACATGGATATATGTAAATACATACACATTCCTATATACATAAACATACAGCTCAGTCTGTATAACATTACTTGTACATATATTTTCAGGGCTGACCATCCGGTATTGGATAATCAACTGTGTGTCTTCCCTGGGAAAGACTATTTCCCCCTCTCTCAGTATTCTGTAGTTGTCTGCAGTCCTTTGTGCAGAATTGAGGCTCATAAGCTTTCCTCTAACCACATCAGCATGTCTACTGACATCATTCTTGTTCAGATCATCTTTAGGTAGTCCAGTTGGTGAGGTTTCATGGTGTAACTTCTGATGTTCATAGAAGACATCATCTCACAGCAAGCACTTTGATCCTCTTTTGTCTTTTATAAGAAAGGCAGAAGTATCTTCTTCTTCTCCTTCTTCTTTGTCTTCCTCTTCCTCCTCCTCCTTTCCCCTCCTCCTCCTTCTTCCTTTTCTTTTTTCTGTTCTGAAAACTCAACTGTTTTCTCTTTGACCATGCTGCTGTGTGTTCCCCCCATTCTTTCCTTCCAAAACACAGTGCTACCTAGTGAAGTTTCTTGGGCTCCTCTCTACTCTCTTAATTTTTTTGAAAAAAAAAATATATATATACATATATATATATATATATATATATATATATATATTGCATTTAGGGAGATGTTTCCTTATTTTCCTAAAATAAACCATTTCTTTTACTGTTTTGTTTATTATTCTTAACATTTGTGATTATTTTTAAATGCTCACCTCTACAATTTTGTTTCTGCTTGCTTTTCATGACATGTTAACATGATGTGGGAGATTTTATCAGTTAGTTACTTCTTGTTGTAAACAAAAACCAGAGGGAGAAAGCTTGGCTTGTAGTTTGAGTGGACAGTCAATCATGGCAAGGTAGGTCATGGCTGAGGGACTGTGAGGTATCTGTCCCATTGTGACTGCAGTCAGGAGGTAGAGACAGGAGTATTGCTGCTCTCTAGCCTGTTCTGTTTCCCTTTTATTGTCTCTAGGACCCTGGCTTATAGGATGAGGCCACCGACTTTCAGAGTGGGTCTTCCCTCTTC